TAATTTAATTATGTTTAAAACATATACTCATTTGATTGTTCAGATTTATATAAAAATCCGAATGCAATCTTATTTTTTTATTCCCTGTATCAACAGCAATTATTGATCTAACATTAAGTTTCACATGAATACAATATTTTTTAGCATAGACCAAAGCTATTTATTTCTTCATATGGTTTCATTGTTCCATACATTTATTACTTTCTTCAACTCCCATGGTGCAAAGGAAAGGAATCAAAGAGAATCTCACATGCATCTCAATTATTACTTGTTTGATTTAAATAAAAGAATAACAACAGTGTCTTGGTAAGAAGCAAGCACATGTCAAGGAAAAAAAAACAAGTGATATTTGATGCTGAAAATGGGGAAGATTTTACTTAAAAATATCAAAATATTATAATATTACCTGACATATATTATTTCCCTAAATTTTATCGATCTAGCACCCTTTTTAACAGGAGACAGAAGGCGAATCTCCTGAAGTGCGCTTTTTAAGAGAAATGAAGGCGCGTTTCAAGAAGCGCACCGCACCTTCCGGGATTATCTTGTCATATCATATTTCCTAAAAACATATTTAAAAAATAAATTATGAAAAAAAAATTAAAAATTAAAACTATAGGGACCAACAATATAATTTAATACAAATTAGTTGAATGAGTTGAAGAGTCTAATGTTATTAATTTATATAGGCATATTGGAGTGTTTAGGTTATGTTTCTTGAGGATAAAAGCTAAAATGAGTATTCCTTCACTTTTTTATATTATCTATATATCTAATGAATCCACTTATACGCTAATGTTAAATTTCATTAGGTTAATATTTATTATTAAGGTTTATTAATTAAGAGTAGAGATTTTTATATGTTAATAAATTTAAATACTTGTTTTTTTAATTATGAGTTCAAAAAATTTAAGTAAAACAAATTAAAAATATTTCATTGTCATATAAATGTATTATTTATTAAATATGTTTAATTAGATTGTTATGTGATCCTAATTTAACTTATAAAAATATTTATATTTTCATTTTTAAACTAATTTTTATTATCATTTTAGTAGTAACAACTAATGGTGTTATCCTTTATATACATGAATTTTGTTCTATCAAATTTTTAATTATTCGTGAGGACAAATTTATATATAAACCTCACATCTTACATGTTCTTGGAACCAAGAAATAATTTTTTTCATATTTTTTATTAGATTCAACTTAAATTATAGATCTAATTAATCATATTCAATACATAATACATTTATATGTCAATGAAATATTTTTAGCTTAATAATAAATATGCCTATATAAATTAACACCATTAAATTATTCAACTCATGCAACTAATATGTATTAAATTATGTTGTTAGTCCCTATAGTTTTATTTTTCAATTTTATATTTTTTTAAAATGCTTTTAGGGAATCTGGCAAGAAAACTTTTGAAGGACTGCGCCTTCCCACGTGGTGACATGTCAATATTTTCCCTGTAAAGCATGTCTTAGGAGACGCACATGCGATCCACCTAAGAAAAAGCACGTTTCATGTAACGCGTCTTATTATCACTCTGTCAGAAAGAGTGCTATATTGATAAAATTTGAGAAAACAATGTATGACAAGTAATATTATAATATTTGGGTGATTTTTAGGTAAAAAGGCCAAAAAAATAGGAACTGCAAAATGTCAAATCTTCCATGACCCAATCATTTTTATTGTTATCATCTCGCCTCCGATATTTGTTGATCCATCCTAAGCTACAAAGAGGGGGAAAATGTAAAATGGTCCTTGTGCCATATGTTATGATATTTCTCTATATATAATATATTCGTTATAACTAATATGTTTTAGGATATATGTATTATTAAATTTGTGATATTTCATATCTGTTAAATCTTGAATAGTAAAAAATTGAATATGTTTAAAGCTGTCAAAGTTAAAATTTTATTTTATTTTACTTTTGCCGTGTAGTTATTAGCCTTTCAAATATATGAAATAATTTAAAATTGGTTAGAATTTGTTACTTGAATTTCATTTGATTCGATCTTTCCAGGTGCATTCCATCTGTACACGACTATATTTGTATTATTATTTTTATTAAAAGTAAAAAATTTATATTGAATAATAACACTCTTTATAATCTAAGATTTATTTCTCATTAAATAAATAACTTTAAGAGTTAATTCTACTTCGTTTGTGCTTTTTTTATTCAACTTTTAGAGATATAAAAGCATCCTCGCGTTTTAAGTTAATTTTAGAGATTAGAAAAATATGAGTGAGAATACCATGATTGAATCGAGCATAGGAGGGTTTCATGTTGAACAAGACATTAATCAATTGAAGTTTGATTTTGAGAAGCAGAAGATCTCTGTTGAGGTTTAAAAAGGTTGATTTAGATATTTACGTCTTATTTACAGCCGAAGAAATAGATGTCATTGATTTTTAGAATCATGTATTGAGTGACAGTTATTACTCATGGTGATTTTATTAAGAGTAAAGTTGGCACTTATGATAATATTATTGATATGATGACTAAATTTAAAATTAATATTGTTTGGACTTGGTTGGTGTACATTGTTGAAGAATATCTTTAAGGGAGATTCTGTTTCACAAAAAAGATTATTACCAAGGAGGATAATCTTTTTTGGAATCATATTCTCATGTTTGATTTACGGAAAAGATCATTACCAAGTAATAACTTATTACCAATAGTAACATTTTTTGTTAAAATTGTGGGAATATCATTACCTCCAAATTCTTAGACAATGAACAAAGTCGTCCTAGATATTTTCGGGGCCCTAAGTGAAAACTAAAAAATATGTATTTATAAAATGAAAGTATATTTCATTACTTTGAACAATCAATTCAATATTACATAAATAAATCATAGAAAAATGGTTAAATCTTGACATAAATAAACTCAAAAATTTTATGAAATTATAACAAATTAGGGACCCTAATTATAAATATAAAACATTGGGGCCCTAATTATAAATACAAAAAATTAGAGGCCCTGACAGTTGCTCAGGGTGCTCTCCCTCAGAGCTGGCCTTGGTAATGAACAATTTACACCATTTTGGACATAAATTAGTTGATCCTATTCCCATATGTAATGGGGTGAGGGGGAAATAGGGTAGTAAGCTGGCCCCAATGCCAGGTTGAGAAAAGCTTCCGTGAAAGACCCCTGACAGTCAGAATTTTGGACATAAATACCTCTAAAATAATGAATTCTTTTCATATGGATAATTCTCAATTTTTATTCTTCGTGTTTTACTCAAAATTATAAATTTAATTTAATAATATACAAAAAAATTAATTTAGTAAAATATTAATAAATTTGATTAGTTAAAATTATTTCATATTTCAATATTTTAAAATGTTATTATTATTTAAAATAATATTTATTTTTGAGTTATTAAAAAGTAGATCTTACACATTAAAAAATAATATATTTGTTCACTTGAGACCATAATATTATTTTTATATTATATTATGTTTTATATAAATAAATATGATACTTATGAAAATTATTTAAAAATATAAGTTTGATATACTAATTATATTAATTATATGTTAAATGTATAATTAAAATATTTTTATATATTTTCATTCAAGTATTTATAATTTAGTGTTAAAGTTTAACTTGTTAAAGAAGCATATATCACAATGATAAGTTGGTAAAACATGCATCCAAGTAATCTTATATTCCTCTAACCAAATATCGTAATCTTAAATATATTCATGCTAAACAAACCAAACAAGATAATTTTGTGGAAGACGTGAAGAATCTAAATATTTTTCTTTTGAAATTGAGTATTTTTCAACTTACCTATTCATTTGTAGAGTTTTTTTTGTCAAGGTGAAGATTGTTAGAGTTTGTAACCCAAATTTTGTTTGATCCGACCTCTGCACTACGAACATTATCACACATCTGGTCCATTAATGATTGCTTCTTATATTATTTTTTGATTAAAAGTATTAATTTGTATTGAAGAAACTTCTTTGCAATCTAAATTTTCCTTTTTATCAAGTAATTAACTTTATAAATAAATAATATGGATTATGATTAATAATTAAGTGTGAGAAGTAAAAAAAAATATTTATAGCCTCAAATCTACTGTAATCTTGATATTATAGTGAATTTCTCTTTTCTATTCGTAATTTTTTCCCACATAAACCTATCTCATTTTTATTGTACAACTGTTTGTTTGTTGTTATCTTTTGCATAATTTATAACAAAAACTTAAATATTAGGGTATCAAATAAGTATATTTATCCAAATCTCATTCTTTAAAGCCATATTGGTTAAATAGGATGCCTTTGAATCTGTGCTAGATTGCTTGCAGGTTCATAGGCTTTCAGTTTGATGAACAAATAATTATACCATAAACAGAAATGTAGGCTCAAAATAATGCCAATTATCTAGGAGTTCAACTTTCCAAGACACTTGTCAAATGCAAAATAGTTGTGCCATAATGTAAGATCAATAATGGAGGAATATAGCTAAATTATAAGCTATATATATATATACTGTCAGAAGATGATTCCCTTTTCTCGGTTCCTCATAAATGACACAAAACTGACGTGAAAATTTTCTATTGAGACCACTGCTTTTTTCTGTTTAAAAATAGTTCTTATGGTGTGATTGTGATAATATTAGTTATGTCTGCAACTGGGATCGTATGAGAGTTTTCTGTAGACCATATCCGAATCCATTTTATATTTCACTCCAAAAATTAAAAAAAAAAAAACCCTGGAATATTCTCCCTACCTTCTCCTTTTGAAAAAGCTGATGGAAGAAGAGATTCTTCGTGAGGAAATTATGAGAGAACCCTTCTTTCCCAGGTGGATGTATGGAACCCCATGCATTTTAGTATGAATCTAAAGAGAAGAAAAAGATTCACAAATCAATTATATGGCGTACGTTTCAAGACAAATGACGGGTTCGAATCTACCGTGAAAACTAATTAAGGGTCAGACAGAGTGCATGAACCATTGGAGTTAACACGACCAGGTGTCAAAGCTACAGGTCTTTTACCCTTGTAATTAGGAAGTTGCAAGATGTACAAGGCTTTCAAGCCAAAAATCAAGACAGATTTCGTATTTTTTTCTGTTCCTTCTTGTTCATCTTTCCTTAATTATCTTGAATAGGAATTTACTACATAATTTAATCATCACCCTTTTACTGTTCTTAGGCTAGTGGACAAGTATTTTCCCCCCATATCTACTTGTCTTTATATTCTGGATTGTGCTCGCAAAGATAACTGTTTCCATTCAACCAAGCGCCGTAAAAAATCCATCACCTGCAACAACAACAACAACAAAAAATTAATACTTCTGTCATGATGTTACAATTGTTTTACTGTCCGATATTTAAGTCTGCAACGTAATGAATGCGATCTCTGGGTCGGAACCTACCTCGCCGGGTTCTTGTAACGAATACGATGCACTTGTTTCCTTAGGAGACTTGGAGACCAGAATGCCAAAACCTTGTCCTCTGTCTCTCAATATCTAAAAACCAATGGAAGTATTAGCAGGATCCACTAGTTTATAAATTAAAGAGATGCCTCGGCTTTGGTTTCCAGCATTGGATACCTTGAATGCATCTTCATCCGTTCGATCATCTCCAATATAGACCGGAAAAACGTTGGTACAGTTAGCGAATCCTGTGGAGAAGCACATTTTATAATAATGGTTAGTGATCAGGGAATATCATGTCATGGTTTTGCTAGCCTTAACAAATTTAACTGAAATAAAGTAATCAAGTGGTGGAGATGGCTGCTGTTTAAACACTTTATGGGTTCTATAATATATAATATATATACACTTGCGGACACGAAGTGTACATGTTCAAGAATCAAACATGTAATAAAGAGGTAGTAAATCTTACCTAGAGACTCTAACAAGAATTCAAGGGCTTTCCCTTTGTCCCATTTAATCGTAGGACGGATTTCCAGAACCTTCCTGCCTTGAGTTAACCGGAGTTTGGGGTATTCCTTTAGGACTGATCTAACCTTCTGTGCCAGTTCACCCCATTTCTGTATTTTTGATAAAAAAAAATCCTATTTAAACACAGTGATTTCTGATAATGAGATGGAAATGGTAACTGATATTTGGCGTTTTTACCTTTTCGTCTACGCATCGGAAGTGTACCGAAACACAAAACTTGTTGTTCTCGACCTTAGCTCCCGTAGTAGATTTTGTAGTATCAACCAATTGTTTGTAAACCTGATCTATCATGGGAAGGAATTCACTAGCTGGTTGGAAAAGAACAGATTCACTGACCTGAAATGTAAAACCAGAGTTTATAGTTTAGTTCTTTTTCATAGTGACGAGTTAATTGGGTTATGTGATCGAATCTCGATATATGTAATTCTCTTTCTTATCCTCTCGTAAAAAGAACAAAGGATTACCATTGCGGCTCACTTACTTTGTTAGATTTGGAACGTTTCTCTGGCCCTTTAATGTCCATGCCATGACTTCCAGCATAGTACAGCTCATCTAACTTGACAAATTTATACACCTATAATTTGCAAAACAAGGAAACAATTATGTATTGCAAAACAAAAAGAAGACAAATAAATTAAAAGGGTGATTGTGAAAAAAAAAACATTTGAAGGCATGAAAATGTACCTTGTCTCTACATCTGCCAGTCACTATAGCAGTGGGGAAACACTTAGCAAGCTTTCTCACAGTCTTTCTCATCTGGTTCATTGCACAAACATGAACAGTTTGTTAATTAAGACTAAAGTATTGTCTGTCTGTATGTTTCATATAAACAAATAGCTTACCTTCTTGGACATGAAAGCTCGATCCGGATCCTCAACAATAGGTGAAAGAGTTCCGTCGTAATCGAGAAACATTACGATTTGTTTCCCTTTCGACGCATCGATTATCTGCTCAAACATCTCAAGGGCAGATGGATGGTGTAGCTGAAAATTTTCATCAACCATAAGGGAGAGTTCAGAGTCTTTTATTAGTTGTTAATAATAACAAAGACGCGAGTCAGATAAGCTTAAGGCTTACATTCCAGGAACCTTGGCCATCAGAAAGGGAAGGTGTGGATTTGATATGAGTAGGAGAAGAGGCTCTCATGGAATCAACCCATGCATTAACTCTTGCCCCCGCGCTGATTTCAAGGTTTTGCAGCAACTTCTTCCTTGAAATGGAGATGTATCCATTAGGTGCACGCGGCTTCTGTGCCGATACGGTCACGGTGATTGCCATGTTGAGATCAGTTATCACATTTTGAGCAGCGGCTGTAGTCATTGTTTTTTCTTCAAAGAAACTCACTACAAAAGGGGGAGAAAACAACAACATTTTTTAGTATAGTTCTAAGTAAAGAGTTGAAGACCACAGCTTCAGAGAGTATGTTCCCCACCAACACCCCAAAAAAAAAACAGAACATACCCATTTGGGTAAACTAAGGTAGTTGAAAGAAGAGGTGGAATTCAAGCAGTGTTGGGGATGTTAATGTTAAAGTTCCGAACTTGGAACAGAGTACTCCGTTTCGTTTCTGAGGAAAAACCGAAAATTTTTAAGAATATGAAAACAGTTGAAAGACTTGGAATGATCATGTAACATTCAGCCTGTGTACAGAGATGGAGGAAGGAGATTGAAGAGAGAATGTATGCGAGCGAGAGGGAGGGAGAGAGGCAACTTGGGTGGAGCATTGAACCCCGTTTTATAGCCAACCCCAAACCCCTCCCTCGACTACATGGGACCCACCCAGCCATGTGGGTCCCACCATCCCTCCCACAATATCCTCTTTTTATTATTTTCATTTTATTTTTATTTTCTGGAGGACCCTTCCCAAGGTCCCCACTAATTTTTTGAGAGGCCTAAACCAATAATAACGATACTGTTTTCCGCCATTAATAACAATACTATTAGATTTTTCTAATAATAAACTATTTAGAAAACGATTATTTTAATAATCATAATGTTATTTTTCAACGGTGAAAACTTTTGAATTTAGGGTTTTAGATCATTTTAATGAAATTATTAACCTAATGTCGTAACCGTCCTTCGGGTGGGTTTAGAATTGAGTTTCAACTTAAATAAAATACGCTAAAGCCACCACCGATCATTTATTTTTTAAAATTAGGTTGACCAGACACTTCAATTTATCATTTTACCTGATCTGCGTTTTATCATAAATATGTTGGGTTCGGGAGTCGGTTACAGTCAAGGAAAGATTAACACCCTTGTAATGCCCTTTCGATACTAATTTAATTTTTTGGTTATCTTAATTGCGAAAATTAAAAGTTAGATTGAAATTTAAAAGTTCAATCCGGATTACTTACCATAGCAGAGTTTAAAATTGACCCTAAAAAGTAAAGAATCAAATCAATGTTCACCATCAAAACAAAACAAAAATTAAATTAAGAAATATAAAATTAAAAGATTTTAAATTAAAAGGATTTAACTACAAAAATTTTGAAATTAGTGACCAAACTGATATTATTTGAAAGCTGCAAGAAAAATAAAAAGTTAGGAGGGGTTAATTTGTAAAATATAAAAAAGTTTAAACATGGATTAAATTGAATAAATTCAAAATTCAAAGGTAAATTTATAACAGGTGACCAAAATGAATTACACATCAAAATATCAAGGACTGTGAAAATAATTTAACTATCTTATAATTACAAGGTGACCCCATATAAATACCCCTAAATTCACAAAAAATCTCATTTTAACCATTAACACTCCCCTCCCTTTCTTAAATGCTCTAAAACCAAAACCATCCGGCCAAATATCGGTCACCACTCCGGTGGCCACCCGTCGTCGCTCCGCAACTCTGGCTGCCGGGAACATAAAAGCCTACCCAAAACGTTCTTCTCAACGATCCCACACCAAAATCGAACCTCGTACTCCCTAAAAAGCCCCAAACAACGTAGATTTAAGATTAAAGTTTCAGTTTTTACCTTTTCTGATGATGACTCCCCGCTTTCCGGTGATCTTCGACGAAACAAAGCCTTTGGCTTTGATTTTTACCCTCGGTTTGCGAACATTGTTTTTCTTTGGAATTATTGTCTTGTTGATGTTGTTGTTTGCTTTGCTCTTGCTGCCTGATATGGCTTGATTTTTCTGTCTCTTGCTCAGTCGATTTTCGATATCCTCCATTCCGCATCTTGATGGGGGTATTTATACCCTCTACCGGTAGTCGTTTTTGAATATCCAGGAATGGGTTAGACCCGTTCGACGTTTGTGGCACGACTTTCAGTTTTTTTTAAATGTGTTCTTTGATTTTTATTTTGGGGTTTATGGAATATTTTAGCTCAATTTTATGATATTTCTGGCTTCAGGTGCCGAGAATCTCAGCCGGTGGATGATTTTGTAGGCATGTGACCTTCACGTGCCGTTGAATGGTGACCATCGCCCTTTTGGCGTAATCTGGACCGTTAGATCACAGGGTCATATCTAACTGCCCTCGTGCGGTTGTGCCTTGGTATATGTCTATTTTAGGGTTTTATGACCCTAACCAACCTCGATCTAGGCCGTTGATCCTAACTTGATCTAGCGGCTGGAAACGTGCGACGCCTTAGCTTATTACAAAACCCTAGCTCTGTTGGGCTCACCAGATCGGCTTGCTGGGCCTCTTAGACTGTTGGACCCGGTTGGACTATTGGACCTGGACCTTGATCAAAAATAAATAAAAATAAAAATAAATAAATTAAAAACGGGATAAATAAATAATAATATGTAATAATAACAACTATATTATATTAAATGTTTTCGATACGTTTTCAAAATCCTTTAAAACCCATATATTATACGCTTCAAAACCATTTCAAAAAATATATTATATATGTTTTCAAAACCATTTTTAAAATTATATATTATACGTTTTCAAAATTATCTTAAAAACTGGATACTATATGTTTTCAAAATCGTTTTAAAAACTATATATTATACGTTTTCAAAACTATTTTTAAAAAACTATATATTATATGTTTTCAAAATTATTTTAAAAACTATATACTATATGTTTTCAAAACTATTTTTTAAAAACTATATATTATATGTTTTTAAAATTATTCTAAAAACTATATACTATACGTTTTCAAAACTATTTTTAAAACTATATATTATACGTTTTCAAAAGTATTTTTAAAAAACTATATATTATATGTTTTCAATTTTTTTTTAAATATACGTTTTCAAAACAATTTTTTAAGAAAACTATATATTATATGTTTTCGAAAAATACGGCTTCAAAACATATACCATATACTTTCAAAAAACATTTGAAATTATTATATGTATATATATTATATAATAATAAAAAAACCTTAATGTTCTGGACGAAAATGGGTGTCTACACCTAGTAACGAAACTTTTAATAAAAAATAGTGAATTTAACCAATTATAAATGTAATAAGGAGGTAACTAAATTGTGATAAATTAAAGTATTCAAACTAAATTCTTAATTCAAGCATAGCATAAGCACGAAAAACTATAGTTTTACCCTTTTGTTGTAAAGAAACTTTGCAATTGGTATCTGTATTTAGTCGAACAGCCCTCTTAAAGCAGGCACACACAGGCAGTGACAGAGCTGTGGGAAGGGGTAAATTCACGAGATAATGTTCTCGAATTTTTTTTTCCACGATATGGTGCACATCATAGATTAATTGCTGGAATGGGGTGAATTCAACAGTGATTGCCATAGGACGCCATGCAATCCAGGCGACCTTGGAGGACGCCATGCAATCCTGGCGACATACGGGGTGACATACGAGGGTGACATACGAGCCATATACGAGCCATATACGAGTCATACGAGCCAATGGGGAGGATGCAACGAGGCAATGGGGAGCATGCAGGAATAGAGAGCCAATGGGGAGCATGCAACGAGCCATATACGAGCCCACGGGGAGCATGCAGGAATAGAGAGCCAATGGGGAGCATGCAACGAGCCATATACGAGCCAATGGGGAGCATGCAGGAATAGAGAGCCAATGGGGAGCATGCAACGAGCCATATACGAGCCATGCAGGAATAGAGAGGTCGCCATGCAGCCTAGGCGACCTTGTAGGTCGCCATGTAGTCCCGGCGACCTTGTAGGTCGCCATGTAGTCCCGGCGACCTTGTAGGTCGCCATGTAGTCCCGGCGCCATTCCATCATCCATGCACATGCACAGCCACATAGCCACATAGATTCCTTCACGTGCTCCCCGCTGCATTGCCTACACCTCCCAATTCACGTGCTCCCCGCTGCATGCCTACACCTCCCAATGCATGCATGTGAACCATTTGAGGCATGTGAACCATTTGATTATTGGTACAATAATTGAACGCGTGAAATCAGCTGCAATTGTACAATTGGTGAAATAATTGAGGCCTCAGCCGGTTATAAAAGAAAGAAAGAAAGGGAGAAGAGATTGCATAAGAAAGGGAGAAGAGATTGCAGCCGAGAAAGAAAGAAAGAAAGGGAGAAAGGAAAGGAAGAAAGGGAGAAAGGAAAGTAAGAAGAAGAAAGGGAGATAAGGTAAATTTTTTTATATTTAAATTAGTTTATTATTATAAATGTTTAATTTGTTAGTTTAGGGTTTAGGGTTAAACAAAAAGCAGTTAATTAGTTTGTTAGTTTAGGGTTATATGATTGTTAGTTTAAGTTATAGTATACATAAATTAAAAATTATTTAATTAGTATATGTTTGATAGTTATATAGTTAAAAAATAATTAATTAGTTTGTATTGTTAATAGTTAGTTATATAAAAAAAATTATTTAATTAGTTTGTGTTAGTTAAATAGTTAAGTTATATTTGTTTGTTGAATTTATATTATATAAAAAATTAGTTAGTAAGTTTATTAATAGTATATTATAATGAAAAAATAGTTTATTAGTTAGTTTTAGTTATATAAAAGAATATTTTATTAGTTGTTTAAGGGTTTAGCGTTTACGTTTAACTTATATTTTAAAAAGTTTAGTTTGTTAGTTTATTAGTTTATTATATTATATGTTATTATATTAAAGTTTAGTGTTGTAAATTAGTTAGTTAGTTTATATTAGATTATATTAAATGATTTTTTAAATATTGTTGTTTAATTTTTTTTACAGATTCATTCTAATGGCTGACCAAATTCCACTGTTGAGGCTTGACAATGAACATATTTCAAGTCATTTGGGAATAATGGTGAATAAAATATTTGTTTAATGAATTATAATTAATAAATATTGAATATTATTTTATGATTGTGATAATTTTTTGAAATATTTAATTGTAGGAGGACGAGCAGCGAGTCCTTCGTCTTCGACTACATAAAGTGCCCAAGCCACACCCACTAATAGAAGAAAATTTGCAAGAGGCTGGATTTTGGTATATAACATTTGTGCGAGATTACAAGTTGGTCCCAGGTTTGATCAGTGCGTTGATTGAACGTTGGAGACCAGAAACGCACACGTTTCATTTGCCGTGTGGCGAATGCACGATAACTTTGGAGGATGTAGCAATGCAACTCGGGGTCCAAACTAATGGGATGCCGGTGGTAATGTCACATGAGTTTAATAAGGTGGAACAACTTTGCAACTTGTTTCTTGGGAAAGCGCCCGTACCACCAGAGTGTAAAGGGTGGCGGGTGAGGTTGTCATGGTTGAAGAATGAATTTCAACTTCAATCAAATAGTACGGAGCACGA